GTCACTGAGTGACAGTGTGTGTGTGTGTCTGTCTGTCCCTGTGTGTGTGTGTGTGGGTCAGTGAGTGTGTGTGTGTCGGTCAGTGTTGCGTTGGCCACAGCTGGAAAGTGGAGGACTTGGAGTTACACAGAGGCACGCAACGCCACGTTACATTCATACTGGCAGCAACAATGTGAGTGGAGTCTGGTTGTTGGCCTTTTTTTTACGGGGCCAGGGTTTAGTAGAGGGGGTGCTGAGATTTAGTATAGAGGAGTGGACTAGGATTTAGTATAGAGGGGGGAGACTGGGATTTAGTAGAGGAGGTCTTGGGTTTAGAAGAGGGGGATTCTGTTTTATATATATATATATATATATATATATATATATATATATATATATATATTGTGTTATTTATATAGCGCCATCGAATTCCGCAGCGCTTTACAATGGGTGGACGAACAGACATGTAGTTGTAACCAGACAAGTTGGACACACAGGAACAGAGGGGTTGAGGGCCCTGCTCAATGAGCTTACATGCTAGAAGGAGTGGGGTAAAATGACACAAAAAGGTAAGGATAGTATTAGACTAGTGACAGTTGCAGAAGAGGAATCAGTCAGGAGCTATTAACAGTTTAATGGATACGCTTTTATGAAGAAGTGGGTTTTTAAAGATTTTTTGAAGGAGTGGAGACTGGGTGAGCATCTAACGGAGGAGGTAAGCGAGTTCCACAGGAACGGTGCAGCCCTCGAGAAATCTTGAAGGCGAGCATCAGAGGTGGGAGTACGGACAGAAGATAGACGTAAGTCTTCAGCGGATCGTAAGGGCCTAGACGGGACATACTTGTGTATAAGGGTGGAGATAGGTGGGAGCAGCATTATGTAGAGATTTGAAAGCAAGAACCAGAATTTTAAATTGAGCTCTATATTTTATAGGAAGCCAATGTAGGGACTGACAGAAGGGTGAGGCATGGGAGGTGCGGGCGGACAAGAAGATGAGCCTTGCCGCCGCATTCATTATGGACTGTAACGGCGCTAGTTGGGAGCACGTAAGACCAGTATAGTCAAGGCGAGAAAGGACAGTGGAATATATATATATATATATATATATATATATATATATATATATATTGTACTTTTTAAAATAAACCTAAGTTTCTATGAAACCACATGAACTTAAACCTTGTTTATTTGGCCCGTTGTACCCTGCGAGTTTGAAATGCTTGCCTTAAATCTTTTATTTACAGCTGTAATAGGCCTTGCATTTAAAAAAACAAAACATTAAATATGGAAGACATGAAAACAGTGCTATTTAGAATCATCTTTTATTTTTGATCATTAATAATAACTACAAGACAGTGTTAGACAAACAATCAATTATCAATTTGGCCTTGCACGGACAATGTACAACTGTTGTTTTTTTTTTTTTTTTTAAACCACGCTCACAGATCTCTGTATGGATGGTCTTACTCATAAGTAGCATGTGATAAATAGACTTCTAAGGTGTTATATATCCCTGTAACCCCCATAAGTATCACGTGTACACCATGACGAGCTATTTGCAGAGATCTGTGCATACTAAAGAGACACAGACTCTGTTTTCCATTACTCCACTTCCACCAATGACAACAGGTATCTGTTTTGAACCAGGCAGCACAGAACAAGCACATCACAGCATTCAGCAGCATTTTACCAAGGCTGGTGAGATAGCTCAGTGAGCTAATGCATCATCAGTAGTATCTGTTCAACCCTTGGGGGTTGCAGGTTAAAATCACGGCAGGGTTAACTCAGCCCTTCATCCTTCCGAGGTAGATAAAACGAGTACCATTAAATTGGGTAATAGTTACACCCCCTGGATGTTGGGCAAATGTCATACCCATGATTTACTTTGAAACCAGAGTAATCTAATACCCATGATTTACTTTGAAACCGGAGTAATTTAAATCTACCTTTACTGGTTAAATACTTTATTATTCTCCCCTGCTTGATCCTGAAAATTGGCCAGGCAGCCCATTAGTCCCCTTTTTTAAGAATGACCTGCATATTATGGGTGTCAAGTTTCACGTTACTGGTGATGCCGCCTCAGGGGATATCATTTCAGTGCTCATGAACACTTATTCTGGTTGGGATGAAAACCTGCTAAATACACACAGGCAAGTGTACTTACATGATCCTGCTGGCCCCCATGGTGGCACTGCCGACAGTCACTACAAGCAAACAGGACACAATCTGAATGTACATGAAGTTCACAAACTATAAGAGAAGAAGCAAAACATAAATTTAGAAGAAAACAAGGCTATCAATCAATAACTGCAAAGAACACCTTTATTGGCAGGGATAATTATTTTTAGTAATCATTCTGTATTTTACAATTACATTTCATCTATTCATTCTTCTACAAGAAATCCTGGCAAATGAATACATTTTAATTAAAACAAAAAAAGAAAAACAATTGGAAGCAAAACACTCATATAGGGGTTAACCCTTCGAAAACTGCAACTGCAGTAAGTGAAAAAAGAGAGAAAGAGAGTTGAGTGTCCTTTAAAATATAACTTTTACTAATAACATTTAAAATATTACAATACCAATCCTCCTAATAGATATATTCTAAATATAGGAAGGGAGGTCCTGTTCAAAAGTTTTCAGGATCCATCTCTTTTATCATTTGCTAAGAAAATCTTTTGATTTTGCAAATATTGTTAGAAGCAAATGAAAAACAGTACAAAAATTAAATAATAGCAAGAGAAGTAGAGTTAAAAAATATTATAGCTGCTAGGTCGACTTACAAGTGATCAAAAACGATCTCTACTTGTCCAAAAAATGTAACAAATCGATGTAACAGAGAATATATAATGTTTAAAAATTGGTTGACTTCCCCACCTGTCAATCACTCTGCAGCATAGAGGTCCAAGCCAGGATTGAGTGAAAGTGGTGAGTATGAGAATCCTCATACATGCAGTTTTCATGCTTCCCATCATAGTGATATTCTGCCAGCAAGGGTTTACCATGCCTGAAGAGGCAATATAGGGACTTTTAAAGCCAATATGCTGGCACTGAAGCCAGCATGTTGCTTTTCTTAGGGCAAGTTCCAAATCACACAAGAATGGGAACTACAACAGGAGATTACAACAGGAGAGTTAGGTTTGAATAGTGCAACACCCATAAACCTAGGAGAATGGTGATAGTGGACCAAGGGATAGAAGTTAAGAGTATAAAAGCTCCAAAATACATAAATATATCATTTATCATTATGTTCTTAGTAGCCAAATATAACCATGCACAACAACAGGTTCACTTTAAGGTTTTTGGGTTTTATTATTGGCGATAAAGATATAAAAATACTATTGATATTATCTTAGTGCCATATCATACACTTCTCCGGTGCATGTGCAAAACTCCAGTAACATTTCAAATTCAGTGGAACAATCTCAGATTTGCAGTCTGGCCCCAACAACCAATTTGTTTTCTGCTGTTCTCAGCATTTGCAGAGAACGAAGATGCTTAAGCCTTTCATATACAGCTATATAACAAATGGTGGAAGACAAACCATGAAAAAGGTCTATCTGAAATAAGTGATAATATCCATGTACAATACTTGGGCCTTCCACATAATTATCTCTCACTGTACTTAAAAGGAAAACAATTATGTGAATAGGAACTTCCCATATTACAACCAAAGCTATATTTATGTGGTTGAATTATGCATTATTACCTTGCCTCTGAGATTACAAGGTAGAAATGTCCCTACTTTGCAAACACAAGCAGGTACTACACATTAATATATGTTCCCTATTGCTTTTAGTCAGCATGACTCATAGTAAAAACAGGAAGATAACAGAATTAATAAAGCCAATCTCACTCTCTGTTGCACAATCACTTTTCCCATAAGGAAAAAAAAAAATCTTATTCCATATTAAGCAATAGGATAAATATACCTTTCTAATTTATTACATAATACATAGTTTGAAAAGAAGAAAAAAAGGAGGCTGGAAAAGTGTATAGTAAATATTGTGATCATATCCACTCCGAGCTGTCGACTGCCAATAGCTTACTCTGCATATATCTATATGAAACACTTAATCAGTTGTCACCTTCCTATAAATGTGGTAATTGAGAAAGATTTGTGTCTGCAATTTTAAAACTGTAGGAGATGTGTTAAGAAAACAACATTATGGATAAAAGATTAAAAAAATTAAATGAAGTCACTAGAGATAAGGGGTGTTAAAAAGATGCTTTTAGTGAACTTTGTAACAATTCATAAAACCTGAGTGAATTTATTTACACCTCACAGTGGTCAAGAGTTCAGATTACAAAGCGTAAACAGCGTGTCTTTGAAGGAATTATATAAGGTAACCATAACAATAAAACAAATAGTTCATAGATTAACCGGTTATGTGAGTCATTCTGTAAGGAAAAGATATGGGTTGTTATGTTTTTTTTTTTCTTTCAAAGCAGTAATCATTTTTTAAGGAGGTTTTTAAGGGGTTTACTTCTTAAATTGTGAATTTAAAGAGACACTGATCTGCGGGGGAGCAGATACACAGCACAGAGAGTCCAGACAGCAGCTCCCAGCCTGCAGCTCAGGGAAGTGAAGGATGGGGTATAGGCTGCAGGGAAACATGGGGACACTGAGACATGGAGACACAGGGAGACCTTTGGGGACGCTGAGACACGGGGACACAGACACACATGGAGACTCTGGGAGACATGGGGACACTGATACTAGAGACACAATGTGTGTGTCCTCATGTCTCCCAATGTCCCCATGTCTCAGTGTCCCCAAGTGAGTGGGTGGGTGGAGAGCAGAAAGAATAGGTCTATTCTCCTCTCCATGTCTCTCAATTTCTCGACACGGAGTGTCTGCTGAGGAAGTAAGAGACAGATGGGAGATAACCCTGTTTTTAAAAAGGTTTTTCTCCCAATCTGTACATTTGCTAGCAAAACTACTAGCACAATCTATAGATTGAATTGCAAGCTACCTATGACAGGATCCCTCTAATCCACGGCTGCCCAACAGGTAGATCCCCAGATGTTGTAGAACTACAACTCCCATGGTGCTTTGTCATTCTAAAGGCATCATGGGAGTTTTAGTTCCACAACATCTGGGGATCTACCTGTTGGGCAGCTCTGCTCTAGTCAATGGTTAGAAGTTGCCCTCACAGTGACTGGCTCCTAGAGTGATCAGGGAGCTTGGGGACCAATCAATCACTACTGACTCGACTGTAGTCCATTGATAAGTGAGTGAAAGCCGATTCCAGCATGTACTGTTGCAGCCTGGTACTGGCAGTCACCTACAGCAATATCTCTCAGTGACCGTATGTCACAATGATTCCACATAGTGTACATAGTTTCATCGACGTTATAAGCCATTACTACCGGTAGAAGTCTTAAATGGTGAGACTTACAATAATATGATTGTGGCAATCACAAGCTTATACCGTTAAAGTTGGAGTTCCCCGGGATCACTGCCCTTTATGAAAGCATGTGATTGCTGGGTTTGTCTGCCCTGGTGAAAGCATGCCTGTGGGGAAATTCCAAAATGTTATTTCTCTAACACTACACTTGTGAAATGCATAACCCCCAACATTAGCGTCCTGAAAAGCAAGTATGCATGTCTGGCTGCCTGCCAATCAAGCAAGCCCACCCACTGAGGGGGAACCATGCAGAGCACACTGTTTCAGTGCTACACTTCTTAGTAACAGTTCCCTTGTATACCCAAAGGCCAAGGTTAAGAAGGCTAGGTCTACCTTTAATTCAGTGCTTCCTGCCTACCACTGCGCACTGCCATACATTACCAAATATTTAGATAAATGGAAAAAAGTGTGAAGTACCGTAAATTTAATGTAATTTTTTTTTTATCCTGCAATAGGTTGAAGTGGTTATGGTGCTTAGAGTGCCCCTTTAAAAAGTCAGTACAGGTAATATGGCCAATACAACATGGGGCACCATCTAGAGACTCTAGTCGTTTTGTTGCTAACTTCCCATTTTTAAGGGACCTTCCAGGCACCAATATATTTTAATGCATTTAATAGATTTTGGCCTCATTAATTTGCAGTATATTTTGCTTGTTACAATTTTTCACAAAATTTCTTTTTTTTTTTTTTTCCTTTTTCCTGCACCATAAGCCTGTCTCCTTACCCATGCCCCTCATGCCATAAAAATGTTCTTTTTAAAATGATCACTGAGTGAACTCCTTTTAATTTTAACCTAGCTGCAGAAAATGAGAGAAACTATAAACAGGTAGTGATATCCGTACTATACTTCTCCCTGGGTGCCGCCTTCTTCTAATACACGCTTCTTTGTAACTCGGAACATTCAGTACTGTCAATGGATAAGCTGTGTGCATACATTTGATAAGGAAGTTTTTTTCTGGAGTGAGGGGGTGTGGCTAAAGAGGCAGGCTTGTGGTTCAGCATTCTGCAAAACATTAATCCAAATGCATTGAAGTTGTGTTGGTGCAAAGAGTGTTCCACTACATTGCAAAAGAACCTGTAATATTATCACCTGACCGTAACAGTTTGAACCCCTGTTATGGATTATTGCATTAATGTGCTGCCTAGACTTTCAGTGTATGTACTCTGACAATGTGATGTGTATGGTAGTCGACATTCTTTACAGATCACCTTCGATCAGATATTGCTCCCAAGCAGATCTTATCAATTTAGTTATTACAGGGAAGGTTAAAGCTCTAAAGCCCTCAGGAAAGACTTCATAATTGGCCAACATTAGATAGGGCAAAAAAAGGTGTATTCTGTAATATGCTGCTAAAATGATCCATAGGAGATAATTGAAAAGGTAAAATGATTTGAATTATAACACAAAGAAACAAAAAGAAGGAAACCTAAAAAACTATATTCTGCTTGTGCCTGGGAAGTCATCATATATTAGTTGCTTTAAATTCCACAGAACTAATGGACAAACCCTTTGAGAGTTATAACTGCTGCATTGGATGTTTTACTAGAATACAAAGCACTGAAAAGCATAATATCTCCTGCATGCCTGTCTCATGCTATCTCTTTACATGCTTTGTTACCTCTAGTTAAATAAAATATTATATATGCGTGCAGAAACCAATTAGCATGTTTTCAATGGCAACTGAGTCTTCACATGTCCACAATAGTTTGACTTATCCTTTGTCACTTGAAATTTTAACATTATGACTTTCATGTCTACTTTGCAATTATTACATCTGAATCTTTTTTTTTTCTTTTTTTTTATTCTTTCTTTTTTGCTGTGCAAGAAGTAACAAGTATGCTTGCAGTGCCACGACGGCAGTTACAGGCAATTGAATATAAACATAGTTAAACATTTGCGTGGCATTCGTGAACTAGGCACAATTTTTTGGTATTTATATTGCAAGCTGAATACAAGCTAGAAGGTAACTTACGTCTAATGTGGTAGGTCACGTTAGGAGACATTAAGCCTATGGTTAGTGTTGTATGCGTAAGAGTAGACATTCAAACATGTATGAGTGCACTTAGCTTAGAGGATCAGGTCGCTTAGTTGTACAGGATTAACTGTGAAATCCTATGGAACTGGAACGTAGTGTGGGTGCGCAGTCTAGCTATGCTATTCATTATACTCAAGTGAGTAAACATGTCTGATTAAGTTAAGGTGAGACAATAGGTTAATCCCCTTAAGGGGGTCCTGGCTATCTAGGTGCAATTTCCCTCCACCAACATATGAACATTGTCAGTCTATGCCTTTCAGTGGCAGCGTAAATAAACATGCCAGTTTTAACTAAATAAAACAGTAGTGCTTGCACTGGAGGCTGACATAGTTAAGGATAATGCGAAATGGGCATTGTAAGTTTTCTCTAAGAGTGCGAGTGCACCCGTGAAGCCCTAACTATAGGCGGGCAGGGACCCCAGACAGCTTGGGTGGCAGATTAGAAGCGATATTTCGACAGAAAAAAGGAAACAGAAAAAACATAAGTCAGTCAGGTAAAACTTAATAACTACAAATATGAAAGTGCCTGGGCTGGGGTGCGACCAACATCTGGAGGTTCTGTCCATCCTCATCCTATGCCCCTCTGAGGGAGGCCATAGCCTTGCCGCAGCTGCGATATAATCAAGTTAAATGTCCCTCTCGGAGGTCGTCGTCACCAACTACTGGTGCACCGGAGTGGGGTGAGTGGCTGCTGCATTTGCCCCTTTAATGCTGCAGAGTAAGGTCGCCTTGCGTGGAGGAGTGGGTGCTCCCGATCATCACTCTGAGACTCCGTGCCCGGATCCGCAGTGGCCGTAGATGTCTGCCTAGGGGGCGTAATCGGCTGTGGAGGTGAGTGTGTTTGCGCTTGCACTGGGGCGGATTTCCTCCTGTCCTCTAACTTCTGCCAGAAATCATTAAGAATTTTGTCGAGCCTATAACTCGGGTCACTCAGCTTTGCTCTGGAGTTAGGATGCCACGTGTCTGCCGCCATGCTTAAAGAGGCACTTGCTGCATTACACGTGGGGTGCTTCTTCTGCCGCCTGTTTTTTAGGGTTTGTAGCTTGGTGTCGAGAGTGATTCCCAGGATAACCACCACCGAGGGTGGGGGGGGAATAGTAGCCCCAGGCAGGCACTGCGGTTCCGGTAGATTTGGTGGGATCGGCCGCCTCCCACACGCTGCTTTTGGTAGGCCGCAGTTCCGCCACGGGTGAGGACCGCCAAGTTCGGCTTCAGTGGTGGCTAGTCTGGAGCCCACAGGAGTACCGGGTCTCAGCCAGTCGTAGTGGGTCACAATAATTAGAGTTAGGTCGCTTAATTCCAATGCCCTCAGAGCTCAGTTGAGATGCATTCGATCGGCTTGGAGGTCAGGCCCCACCCCACATCTGAATCTTTTAATTAAAGTTATATAATAAGAAATTTAATTTTTTTTAAAAAACCTTCTGTTCTTTTCACTTGCTCAGAACGAAATATTCTTAAAGTTGCTTTCTGCAGACACTCAGTGACATCGAACCCCCTTTTATAAATTAACTAGTAAACAATTGGGACAAAAAAATCTTTTGTTTTGCTGCACAAACCCTTTAAAAGTGCATTTTTTTTAATGCAGACCAAAAGCATGAATTTTTAAATATTGTTTGAATAAAACCTTTAAATTTACATATAATATGCTATTTTTGAAAACACAAGTGGGCAGAAGTCTTAAGTTTAAGTACAGCACAAAAGGCCTCTCATATTTGATCTTTCCCCAAAATAAATCAAAACCTTAAAGGGACACCCTAAAGCCCAAATACAAAAATAAATATATAAATAACTATTTAGCAGAGTTACAGCCAATGAAAACATGCATGCATTTAAGAATGCATTTTTCGTAATTGGGGGCAACCTTTGCAAGCTCTCCCCTTCTAACCCAACCCAGTCTTTAAGCATCACAAACATTCCACTGCAGCTCAGTGAGAAATCTTTGTAAGGCAGGTACTCTGGGCAATTTCCTGCTTCGTGAGTTTAAGTCCACTAAGCTTAAAAAAACAAGAAGTAACAGGACCGGTTATCTGACAGCTCGGGGGTGTAACAAGGTTAATATATATAGGTGCCAAATTCTTTTGAAATCTATTAAAAAAAAAACATTTTAGCAAGCTATAGTGCTTTGGGTTTGTGGAGTGTTCCTAAAGGGAACCTGCCAAGTCCCTATTGATTTTAGCTCTTTTTAAAAAGCTTACAGTTCCATCTATACACTGTGCGAGCAAAGTTATTGAATTGTGGGAAGGGGAAATATTTAATTACAGTTTCTTCACCCACCGTTTTTCCCTGAAAATAAGACATCCCCAAAAATAAGCCCAATTTATTTTTGGGGATGCTCGTAACATAAGCCCTAGTCGCTAGTTCCCTAATCTATGATCGGGAAAGTTTCCCCGAACATAGATTCATGGGATTACATGCCTAGTGCACTGGTGTATGTACGAGCGAATTCCCCCAAATGTTGACCTGCTTTCTTGCACAAGCTTGTTACCGTTTTCCCCCAAACAATTAAGAGATCCACCGAAAATAAGACCTAGTGCGTTTTTCGTGGGGAGGGGGGGGGAAACAAAATTAATACAAGACCCGGTCCTTTTTTCGGGGGGAAATGGTCTCTCAATTTCTTGGCAGACACTCAATGCCAAAGAATCGAGAGCCAGGGAAAGTAGA